TCCTTTAATCTTTTTCCCTCTTCTTCTCCCGTTTCAATGTCTTTTTTTTTCCTTCTCGCGTATCTAGTTAAATATCCAGTATAGTTAATTACTTAGTAAATATACTTAATCTACGTGCATAATTCTATTTCGTTGAAAGTCTCTTAAAATAGAAAATTAAGCTTAAAAGAATAAATAGATATAATAATAATAAAATTTAAAATGCTTTTATAATAATACACTTTAATACTTCTATATCCTCTAATAAACCATATAAATTTAAAAAAGTTAATTTAATAAAAAAGACTATTTTTAACTTTATTTCTTTTAATACTAATTCTTAAAATAATAGTTTAAACTATATATAAATATGTACTTTTTTATAGAGAGATTAAAGAACTAATATTATTAGATATTCTTTGTAGAAGTAATTTAAAAGCTGTTAGAAATTATTAAAATATTTTAACTACATCTATATAATACTATTTAAATTTAAAATAAATTCTATATTACATTCTTTAAAACAATTTAATTTAAACTTAATCGTATAATAATAGTAAGTATATAATTATCTAACTATAAGAAAATCTATTTCTATATTTTTAGATATAAAATAATATTAAATAACTTAATAATTCTTATTAGAAAAGTATATAGAGTATATATAATTTAAATTATATTTTAATAAGTATATAAAGATGTAGAATAAAAAGTAAACTTTATAAATTTATTACTTAAAATAGAAGTCTAAAACATATTTTTATATAGGGAATAAGTTATAATATGTTACAACCCGTTATGCATGGATAACAGTTGACCGACCCACTTAGGCGTCGGGCGGCTAGGACAGGACATTTATACCGCAGGATCACAGGAACAATAGGGACTCACTCAGAACGGAAGAACTATGGTATAAGTCACGTGACGATAAGATAAGAAAACGATCAGTGGAGTACAGGAGGGAACGCTCAGTGATCAGTTGGTCTTGCCAACTGATCGCAATCACCTTACGCACTTAGGTGATCACTCTGGGATAGACAAAGAACACTATTTGGAACTTATATATAGTATGACCCTAAGCCTAGCTTATGGTCAGACTTCTATAGCTCTTCAGCAATCAACTTAGTATTCATCCTCACGGATACTCTCAGCTTACCTTCACTGCGAATCACTTATTGAGTCTAAGACTGATCACTTTGGCCTCTGAAGAACCGATCTACTACAGCCTACGAACTACGACCTACGACCACGACCCAGTGTACTGTTAGAACGTATCAATCCCCAGCTTCTGTTAGCAGACCCTACTGTCGGATAGCTGACCGTAACATAATAGAGGTTTAATAGTCTTAGATATTTATAAATATATAGGGTTAATTATATATTAAACATAATTTATAGATATACTTATAGTTAGTCTTAAATACTTTAAAAGGTAATATAAATGTATAAGTATATACAATGACTCCCTTTTCCCCGAAGGGGCGCCCGTTTGAATGTCCGTTCTTGGGAACGTGGCCCACGGGTCTGAACAGCGTAGGCAAGCTAGGTCTGGAACTGCCTCACCGCTTGCTGCCAGTATGTTTCTTCGAGCCGCCACTGTAATATACAGTGTGTAGTGAAACTCGAGGAACAGTTGAAGCAGTAGCAATTCGCCAAGCCTATCTAATTTATTCCTTCTATAAGTGTCTTGACAACGAGTCTCCAAAGACCGTGTGTTTTAGCCTGATTCAACAGCACTCCTAAATCACTCTCAACGATATCCTACATTCACATCCTTCTATACGAGACAGTCTGTACTATGTTTACGAGCTGAGCCCAGAAGTAATTGCAACAAACCCCACAATTCATCCTTCGCATCAGATTCAGTCCCGCGAAAACTTTCAAACAGGCTGACCGCTTGGTTTGAAGAAGCGGGATGCGGCAGTGATGACGTTGTACCTCTGGTTCACGTTGAACCGCTGAGCAGACGGCTGGAAGATGCCACTGAGCGTGGTCGTCACGCCACCAAAAACGACGTCGTAAATCATGTTCGCAAGGTGGCTGCAGGCCATACCAACAGCGTACGTGTTGTAATTGCAGAATACTGTGGCCGACGTCCCGTCACAGGTGGTCCTGATGCACCGCCTGGCCTGCACACATACCTGCTGACCGTCTTCGGATGCGAGACGCCCTTGTCTAGGTCCCAGTAGGTGATGCCTCCCCACGGCTTAATACATTCGTTTTTGTACTGTAGCATTAGGTCACATCATCTGATTGGAGCTATGAAATGGTTTTGCTTCGTACGACGAACCGCGTCGTCGCAAGCCTTGATGTTACGGTCAGCTAGCCGACAGTAGGGTCTGCTAACAGAAGCTGGGGATTGATACGTTCTAACAGTACACTAGGTCGTGGTCGTAGGTTGTAGGTCGTGGGCTGTAGTAGATCGGGTCTTCAGAGGCCAAGGTGATCAGTCTTAGACTCAACAAGTGATTCGCAGTGAAGGTAAGCTGAGAGTATCCGTGAGGATGAATACTAAGTTGATTGCTGAAGAGCTATGGAAGTCTGACCATGAGCCAGGCTCAGGGTCATACTATATACAAGTCCTGAACAGTAGCCTTTATCTATCTAAGGGTGATCACCTAGGTGCATGAGGTGATCGCGATCAGTTGGCAAAGCCAACTGATCACTGAGCGTTCCTTCCTGTGCTCCACTGATCGTTTCCTTATCTTATCGTCACGTGACTTGTACCATAGTTCTTCCGTGCCGAGTGAGTTCCTGTTGTTCCCGTGATACTGCAGTACAAATGTCCTGTCCTAGCCGCCCGACGCCCAAGTGGGTCGGTCAACTGTTATCCATGCATAACGGGTCGTAACACTTGAGAGCTCTCTTATCAAGCTGCATAACTTCTATATGAGTAAAGATTAAGAACGTTAACAGCAGTAATATTATCAGAAGAGTCCGTCATGCTATTATAAAGCAAAATATTATTTTAGTTAGTATTAATATGTTATAGTTAGCTATCTAACAGTAAGGTCTGTTAATAGAAGTTAGGGATTAACATATAGTAATAGTATACTAGGTTGTAGTTTAAGTTATAAGTTATAAGCTTTATTATAGATTAATTTTTAAAAGCTAAAGTGATTAATCTTAAATTTAATAAATTATTCATAGTAAAATAAGCTAAAAATATTTAGAGAATAAATATAACATTAATTACTAAAAAGCTATAGAAGTTTAATTATAAACTAAGTTTAAATCATATTATATATAAGTTCTAATTAGTTTTTTAATCTTAGTACTAATTATTAATTAGGTATTAATAAGCGTTTAGTAATTATTAGTAAACGTTTAGTAACTCTAGCTAAATATTTAGTAATCTATACTATTTACTTAGTGTTATCTTTATTATTATATAACTTATACTATAGTTGTTCTATATCTAAGTAAGTCTCTATTATTCTTATAATCCTATAATATAAATATCTTATCTTAGCTGCTTAACGCCTAAGTAGGTTGTTCAGCTATTACCCTTATTTATAAGTTATAACATAATATCTAATTACTATTTATACTATTTAGGTTATTATTTTTATTACATAAAGTAAAGCGCTCTTTAGAGACTACCTCTATTTAGGCTACTTAAGATTATTATTATATTAAGATTAAACATCTCTACTTAAATAGATTAATTATTTTAGAACTTTTAAAAAAGCATTAGAAAAAAAAGGTAAAATAGCAAGCCTCCCACTTATACTCAGCAGGCTTTCCGCCTCATCTGGGCTTTCGCTCAGGGACGTTATCTGAAAAGAAGGACATTTAAAAAGCAATCTCACTCCCCAGACGGGATTCGAACCCGCACCGCCTGACCTTTGTAAACACAAAGCGACCCTGCTACCAATTACACCACTGGGTCAAGTATACCTAACAAAGCTGGTCGACGACCTCTATCCAGGACGCTTCCTCGGGGTTGCGCGGCCGAGTGGGGTGAGGCAGGCACCGAGGCCCGCAAACCGCGCCGGACGGCCCCGGATGAAAGGCACGCCAGTCTATGCCGGGATCGGAGAAGGCGCCTTGTCCGAGCGCTCCTTCCAACCCTAGGGGAAGCTTCACTGCAGCCCAGCTCTTCGTGGAGCGTCTTGGGGCCAAGCACAATGCCCGATGGAGTGGGCTGGGGGGGGCCCGTAGAGAGGAGTTCCAACGTCAACATCTCGGAGCGGCCAAGCCACCGACACCCCCTCCTCCAGTTTAAACCCAGCTCACGTCCGAAGACGAAGGCAAAGGGCAATGCAACCCGCAAAGAAGCCCAAAGGCGCGCAAAATGCTAGGCCGCACGAGTCTCGGCCGGCACGATACCAGCGCAAGACCGAAAAGACGCGTGCGTGCACACGTGTACGGGTGTCGCGCGCAGGCGGGCTTCCCATCTCGCGGACTTGAACACTGGTTCCCGTTGCGTACTTGTCCCGTAAGAAGAAACACGCATACACCGCCCCATCTCACTGAATCCGCTCGCGATGCAAAGACAACCAGAGTCGACGACCCCAAGCGCGCACAACAACACCACGCATGCGGCACAAGCGCTCCGCCAAGTTGCGCCCCAGCAGACGTACCCGCGAAGAACGGAGCGCGGCTCGATTGCTGCCAGCTGGCACGTTGAGAGGGGTGGGCTTCTTCTGCTGGAGACTGGTCGACTGTGGGAGCTGGCTGGCTTTCTCCCGCGGGACGATCATCTAGATTCTTACACCGCAAGGGGGCAGGCTGAAAATCATTCCATCATCCCACCGGCGTCGAGACGCCCAAGATCATCATGCATAGACATTCACGGCCGAGGGGTCTGGTGTGCACGGGTACTAACCCCGTTCGCTTGACGATATCTCAGATCTTGTTCGGCATTCCGCATTACGCAGCCCATGTGAGTTCCAAAAGTCCAACTCCAATCTCAGAAGCCAAACATCTAGACTAGTATATTGAATGTTCAATTTCTGGTTCTTTATATGGCATGATCTCAGTCATCTCAGTGCCGTCTGCAAAATGTTTCATTGCCATCAGAGATCGAGTTCGCTGTCAGAATCGCCGTAGTGAACACGATCGTCAGGCACCGGGAGCAAATTTTCCTCTAAGATACTTTTCCACGACGGCAACGGAGACTCGGTTTCCCAGTGCTTGCGCTTGTGTTCATCTCCCCAATTCTTAGCCCAGTTGGCGTGACTCCAGCCCTTGTGCTCTCGAACCAATCTCTCGAAGTTCCACGGCTCGCCAATGTTGAAGTTGCACCGCACGACCGACTTTTCTTCGGCGATGTCTCGCAGTGCCTGTGGAAGATGCTTGAATGTGTAGCTCGGATACCAGTCCATTCGCGGACTACCATCCAGCCAAGATGGCTCCTTGATCATGCCTCTTTTCACCGATTCGTCCCACGCTTGTTGCCAGGCAGCGTCATGCTGAACAATCGCCTGGAACATTTCAGTCATCGGATGGGGTGCTGGCTCAGCGTCCAGAACGAGGGAGAAGGACTTGACGGGCATGCCTGCAGGGGCAAGCGCCAAAGCTTCCACTATCCAAATTAGAATGCTTTCGCTGAAGTACTGAGATTCGATGACCCAGTCGCGTCTGTAGGTGCCGTAGTTGCTCATCGGGTGCGACAGGTTTGGCCGGTGGTGGGGTTCAGATTGGATAGCATTCCTCCACAGGTCAACCCGGCGCTCCACGACAAGCAGAGGATTCTCCTGGCAGAACGGAATGAGGCCCTGTGCGTGACGCGCAGGGTGACCAACCGCCTTGCGATCTTCGTGCACGATAGTCTTACGCAGCTGCATGCGCAACGCTCGATCACAAGAACTTCATGAAAAGAACCGCAGCTGCAGCTGCTGAGAAGCGGTGCTTCACGCGGTCCCTCTTTGTGATCACGTCCTCGATGCTATCAGTGTCCTCCCCATGAGGCCAGTATGCAGCCATAGCCTGAAGTCTGCTATACTGCGGTATGTCCCAGAACTCTGATGGATCCTTGGCCATGCCACCAAAATCATGCGTTTCGGCGTAATTGACTCTGTGCGGTTCATACCGATCAAGCCAGCGGTGAAAAGCGTCGCGGCCAGTGTCTAAGCATGCAACATGTCGAAGTCCTTCCCTGTGTAACTTGGACAGTAATGAGGGCGCTTCGCCGTAAGAATCAAGCGCCCATAGATCGCCGTCACGATTGAAACGCGGATCGGATAGATCGGCTTCCTCTCTGATCGTATTAAGCAGGAAAGCGAATTGCGGATATGTTGACTTCAATTCATGGTGTGCTTCTTTCTCCGCAATAGTGTGGCAGGCGGAATAGAACAGACGGTGTCGATAATATTCCAGCTCCCCTATTAACTTGTCAAAGCGCAAAGCGATCATTCGAAGGTCGTCAGAGTAGACGGTCGTGAAGGTAATGGGATTGATGCGCAGTGCCACTCCATACATTTCGGTTGCGATGAGGCGGCAGGTGTAGCAGAGGTTCAGGTTGATGGGCTGGTCGTTGGCGCCCTTCAAAAGACCGGTAATGTTGATCTTCGGCACACTTGCGGCGTTACGCTCAAGCACATTTGCGGCGAATCGACCAGGGTCGCAGACATATCCACCCGGGATCGCGACGTGGTGCTCGTATATCGCATCTCTGATTTCTCGCGGGAGAGCGAGGAAAGGAGACGGGGGTGCCATTTTGGTCGACTGGATAACACACAGCGGTTGAGAGAGTGGTTTGCGGTCAGAGCCAGACTGTCGCTGTGGAAAATTGGGTGCGTGCAGTGTTTTGTAGCCCCAGAGACCAGCCACCAAAGAACGACCTCAAGGTTCGCGCAATGGCTGTTTGCCGAAGGACCTTCTCTCACCCTTTCGTGGCTGTGCCATCGCCCACACCGTTCCAAGAGCCTGACTCAGACAGTCGTGGCCAACAGTGTCTCGCACTGTGTGAAACATGATCTAAAAAAAAAGTGGCCACTGTAACGGGTGAACCATTCCGGGAGTTCTACGGCGTTCAAAACCAGAGACTTTACGGCGTTCAAAACCAAAGACTTTACGGCGCTCCAAACCAAGAGAAATGTACGCGGCAACGTATATGAATCTTTCTTCCCTTCTAACTTTTTTCTTCGCAGTTTGCCGCCTGGAGGCGCACCTTGTTGACTGCCGTATGACTCTCACGGGGAAATATTCGAGGGCCAGGATGGCCTGGGCTCTGTGTGAGTCAGATGGCGAAGCAAACAAAAATTAGGGAAACTCACTCACAGAGAAACCTCTATGGCCACCTATGGGGGAATATGAAGAGAGCGCGAATCGCCTCGATTACTATGATTAGCTTAGCAGAGCGAGGGGGAAAACAGACTATCAAACTCACCAGGGGGCAGGCATCTCCCTCCTCACGCTGCCACAACCCATTACTCCTTCAACATCAATATGTCGTCACCATACTACGTCGACACCATCCATCGCCGCTATAAATATTCAAAGATTAGTAGATGTTTAGTAATAAGAGTAGCTTCACTTACCCTCGAAAGCAGCGATAGCCTCCTTACAATCGCCCAAAACAACCAGGATGAAGTGTGCAGATTTTTGCGCACACGACCCAGTCCCCTGGCGCAAGGCTCAACAGCGTATCAAATACCTAGAGTATATGAGTATAAATGTTATATATCTTCAAAGAGGAATCTTACACCGCTGCCTTCTACTAGCATACCTCGACAAGACGATACATTTTCAAGCCGAGGCATGGAGATATTTCAAGCAAATCGAAACGAAATTCAAGACGAACAAGCCATACGACGTTGATCAAATCGAGCGTCTCGTATTATCGAAGCTAGGGTATCTCAGCATCTAACAGTAGCGAGCACATTCGTAACGTGTTTACTTACCACAGCGCCCTGTTGAAGGAACTCGAGGACACGTACACGATCGCCATAGCGTGGTAGTAGTTGATGGGGGCGGTCTTTGTGTGACAGAGATCAGTCTCTTGGCTTGATGGCGGAAGGATACGGCACTCACTTACTAGACATGTAGGGGGTGGTTGGAGTAAGGGGGACCTCTCATGCATCCCTGGTCTGGAGAGAACTGAGCGTTAGCTGTAGCTTTTCGCAACGAACCAAGGATGCCTCATAGCACAAGATCCAACTGACCATACAAAAATTCACAAAAGAATTCCTCACAAAATGATTGGTCTCCGATCTGGAGACAGAAGTGATCTCGATAGAGATCCCAAGTTTGCAGTATCTCGAAAGAGGTTCTGGCGACCTCGAAACAGGTGCCGGTGACGCGGTGATTTGCAAAAGCGTACATGAAAGAAAGAAGGGGAAAAGAAGGAATGTAAGTGATTGCGCGTTACAGATACGGGTTGGAGATGGATGGACCAGTCTCCATGTATCGGCTCGTCCACTCAAACTGACCGAGCCCGAAGGTTTTGATGGCCCAATTGCGCCATGGTGCGGGGGTGCTCGTCGATCAGCTGTTCGAGGGTGCGTTTTCGGGAGGCCCAACGACCAAACCGGCCTTCGATCAACTTTACTGTCCACTTCGTGACGGGCAAGTTGCGTCTGGCGTTGGCCAGCAGGGGACATTCGAAGAAGAGGTGTTCGACGGTGTGGGTGTTGGTGCCACAGGGACACATGGGTGAGTCGGCGAGCTACAACGCAGAAGAAAACGGTTAGCCAGGCAATGATCGAGGTTCCGACAACGAGGTTTGGACGCGCGACACGCGGGAAAACAGAGGGAGAAGAGAGAAAGGGCAAAGAAGAATGAAAATGTTCTACATACCGTCCTCTTATACAGGTAGGAGTTGAGGCCGATGAAACCGGTCCTGCAATGAAGGATGATAGTGCTCTCAACTCGGGTCAAGTGCTGGTGGCGCTTGAGGTTGGAAGCGCCCCAGTCCCCCCTGGTTGCGAGTGGGTGGCAATGAGTCCCGTACCACGACTGCCGGGTTGAGCGTCGTTTTCGTTTTTCTTTGAACCACCACCAGATGTACCTGCAGAGAGTATCCGATTGCGCTTCGAGGTATTCGTTGATAGCGATGCGCCGATCGACTGCATTATCCCACACGTCGGGAAGGTTCTTGCTCAGGTATTGATCCTTGGCTTTTTCTGCGAGCCGGGAGGCTGCTTGATACAGCTTAAAGTACGGCTGCTTTTTGAAGCATGGGCTCCTGGTGCTTTTGAAAGGGAATTTGGTTGTCTTTCCGATTAGAAGCTTGCCATCTTCGGCCATGGAGTTGCAGGCACGATGACTCATTGCCATACGTTGGAGATAGACAGCAATCGGCTCCATGTTGACTTCTTTGTGGAGGGGAAGGCTTGATGTCTTGGAAAGCACGCCGGCAAAGACCCGGAGGCAGCCGGTCTGAATGGCATCGAGCTTGTCGATCAACGTTTGGTTCAGGCCGTAACCTTTTGCCTCTATGCTGGGGACGACAAACCAGACTGGGCAGGCGTACGCAATGATTGGACGGATGCTGGTCGCGTAAAGTTGGCACATCTTCAGCAACGACGGGCCCGAAACGCTGCTGATTTTCCGCTTCATGTAGTCCATCTTCCGGTTGACCTTTTCCTTTATCTGTTGACAGTGAGGTCAGCAATGCACATATCACACAGACCTCCTGGGCTCATGTCGGTGTCTTGGAAAATAACTTACCTGGTGGACGTTATACTTCCATGACAATTGGTGGTCCAACCAGACGCCTAGGACACGGAGGTTGCCGTCCTTGTTCGTTGCTGGTTCCTTGGCTTCCCGCACAAGAGCCGTTCTCTCGTCCAAGTGCTCGATTTCAGGCAGCTCTGTGCAGAGAGGAAGACATCCATTACCTCCCTTCCGTGGGCGGAAGTGCATGACTTTGTACTTGGTGGGATCGAATAGTAGCCCACGTGGTTGTGCCCAGGATATCAGCTTGTTGTGCACCTCGGCCAGCTTCTTGCAATTGAACGTGGAACACGTAGACGTGACCATGATGCAAGTATCATCGACGTAAGAGGCACTGGTGAAGATGTACTTGGAACGACCCAGCTTTGCCTCGTTGTCAAGTATCCGCAGCATCGGTGCCATGAACAGGACAAAGAGAATCGGAGACAGTGGGCTCCCCTGAGGAATGCCAATGCGGACCCAGAACTTGGGTGAGGTGAAGCCTGGAAGCACAACCGAGGTGGAACGGTCAGAGACGAAAGACTTGATGTAGTGCACAAGCCATTTGGGCACGCCCACGTCGATGAGAATGTCGATTAGCTCAAGGTGTTTAACGTGATCGTAAGCGCCAGACACGTCAAGAGCCAACAGGCTAGTCCGCCACTTCTTCTTAGTGGTTCTCGCGCAGAACCCGTCCACGATCCCGCTGACAAGATGCTCAACTGCCTTGGGAGCGCTCTTTCCAGCGAAGCCGTATTGGCTGAACGGGATCAGGTCGTACTTGATAGCAAGTTCTTTGATGTAATCAGCGACGAGTCGCTCTAGAACCTTCCCAATACAGGAAAGCAGCGCAATGGGCCTGTAGTTCTTCGGATCTGTATAGTCGCTTTTCCCCTCTTTTGGGATGACGATAGTGATTGACTCCTTAAAGCAGACCGGGTGGTAGTGGAACTTGATGCAGGCATTGAAGAGATGCAACAAATAGGGCAACAGGACGTCTACCGCGATCTTCAGAGCTGGATTTGGAATCTCGTCTGGGCCAGGGGCTTTGCGGGCAGGCAGTCTCTTCACGATCTTCCGAACTTTTTGACGGTTGAGCTTGGGAGGGGGCTCCGATTTCAGCTTAGCCAGCCGTTCTCGCTCCTCGTGAGAGATCCTTTTCTTCTTAGGTCTGCTCCGGGCCTTTTGGGATACGGGAGGGGAACCGGCAGATAGCGGAGGGTCGGAAGCGGAGGCGGAGGGAGAGCCGGAAGCGAAGGGAGAGTCGATCGATCGGGATGACACCGAATCAGCTAATGCGCTAGCCATATGGTTGCTGGGGACGTCGGAAGCTAGATTGTCTGAACTTGGGTGGTCAAGAGGCTTTTGCTGCGAAGGCTTGACGTTTCCCCTCAAGCCACCAGGCTTTGAGTTGGACCTTAAAACCGTTGATTCCCTGGCAGGAGGAACAAAGCGATTGCCGCCACTCATGCTGACGCGCCTTTGAGGTTTTTTCTTTGCGGTTTTCTTGCCCCCTTGAGCTCTGGATGTTGTACCCTTCTGACCCTTGCTGGGAGAGGGCTCCGGATGTTGAGATTCGCCACATGTGGTACTGTCTGCATCGGGCATCGAACAGTCGTCCTGGGTTGACATGTCGATGTTGGAAAGCGGGGATCCAGGAAACGGAGGTTCCTCATGCGTGAGTAGCGAACCCGGGGTAGGAACAGAAGAGTATGTATCAAATGCGCAAACGATTGTACTGGTATCGGGAGGATCAAAATCGTTCTCGGCGGGGCGACTGGCGGCACCCGAGGGAGAAGGGTGATGAAGAGGTTCGGGAGAGGGCCGAGACGGTTGAGGTGTCGAGCGGGGCGGTGGCGTTGAGGATTGACGATGCCGAGACTCTTGCTTTCCCTTGCGTTTCTTGGATGTACAGGGCCGAGATTTTGGCTTTGCCTTGGGTCTTGCTGATCTTTCGGCATCTAAGGCCTCCATGCGAGATTCGATGTGCCGACCCAAGGCTGTTGCCTCTCCCGCCGGGGGCAGAGAATCGCTGGTTTCGTCAAATAGTTTGCTACGTAAAACATGAGCATTCTCTGCTTGGCTCTGACAGAAGGTACCGTCGGCGGTCTTGAGATACTGCAAGTGGGGAGGCATCTGTGTGAGAGCCGTCCTGCGAGCCTGAGCCATTATCTTGTGAAGACTCACCAGGCCTTCGGACAGATTAGCGGCACGATTACGGAACGCAACCGTATTGGCAATCGTCGAAAACCTGTTGGTTTCCTTGATCGCAGCCACCCACTTCTCGTAACGCTCGTCATATGCCAAATTGTCTCGACGCGTATCGTGTAGGGCCCGATTTGCATGCAGCTCTGCGTCAAAAGCCTCTATAAGTTCGGCAAGCTGAGGATGCTGATTCCTGGTCTCTGATGCGTTGAGGTCAATGGTCTGTGTAACTGTTTTTGATTTCGCGCGGCCTCTCAACACTACAATTGACCAGTTGATGCCGAATCACGTTTCCCAATACGGCCAGGTCAATGTTGGTTGCAACATCTTCTTTTCGTTTTGCCGCTTTGCGCCTGTAGGTGAACTTTCTCTTGTTGTATGTTGGTCGGATATCCATGCTGCGTTCGAGAAACGCCTGCGACATGTATCTGCCACATTTGTCAGGCTCGCTGCCAGGATCCCAAATGGAGTGGGCGTTTGAATCGCAAAAGATGGCAGAATTGCTACCCAGGACGTCGAAACCGAGTCCGGGGGCTGGGGTTTTGAAAAGGTGCTCAAGGTCAATGCTCTCTCCCGGCTTGCGGTTGTAGAAATTTGTGAAATACACTTCGGAGCCGTCGAGCAAGCGGAGGAGCATGTAAGCGACGTATCCCTTGTTCACTCCCTCGTCCCAAGTGACCTCCCACGACTTCGGATGTATTGCCGTGGAAACATAAATGGCAACCCTTCTGGAAACAGGCTTTGGTTCGTCGTCTTCCTCGTCCTGGGAGTTCTTGGGTTTGTTCTTGGCCGCCGGAGAAGTCTTTTGTTGGTCTTTGTCCTTGTCAGACTTGGGTCGTATCCAGTCACTTTTGCTTACGAGGTGGTATTTTGGCAGATGAATTTTTGCAACGTTGTACGGAGGATCTTGAATCATGAGGATGGTTGGTCGCGTCTTGCATTCGAATCTCTTGGCATATTTGCCCAGGTCCCTGACCTTGGATTCCATCTTGTTGACATTGTAAGAGAAGATGTCCAGCATATGCCGAGTAGTCTCTGTCCTGGGGTCCTATGGAGGGTATCGGGTTAGACAAACGTGCGGAAATAGAGAAATGGGATGTGTATGTGTATACCTCTTCCATGACGTGGCTCAAGTTGGGTAGTTCATAATGCTCGGGGGGCTCCAAGTCATACTGCGCGGACTCTGCGCCGGCAGGGGCGGCAGAGCCGTGGCGTTCCGGCTGGTCGTCTGACGGTACTTCAGACATGTTCTCGGAGATGGGTTGACGTGTGCGTGAGATTTGACTGCCACGCTGCGATGTGGTGGGCGGCGACAAGCTTTGGCGAGCAGCTCTGGAGTCGTCCCCAGCCGCTGATTTCAGCGGCTGGGGACGATTGGCACGACGCGACTTGGCCAGATTTCAGGGCGTGCGTAAACTGAGAGGGCGAGAAGATGAGGCCGAATCAATCGACAGAATATGATGCTCAGCGGGACGTTGCACACCCAAAGCCCGGAGGTGATGATGCTGGTGATGATGCTGGTGATGATGCTGGTGATGATGCTGGTGTTGCTGGCGGTGATGCTGGCAATTCGATATCCGATCGGTGGGGATGAACTGCTTCCACTGTAAAAAGGCCGGCCACATGATGAAGCGCTGCCCAGACAAGGATGAAGACCCCACGTGTGGATGGTGTGGCGATCGGGGCCACGGCCAGGGCGCCTGCACTTCGACGGTCCCTCGGTGTGCTGCCTGCAAGGAGGAGCATTGCACGCAGTCTGTCAATTGCATGGACCGGAATCGCCGACTGCATCTGCGTGCTTGCGCCAAGTTTGGTCCGCCAGCCTGGCCATCGCATGCAAAGTCTCTACGACCTCATGGGAGGCGAGATGAACAGTCTCGAAACGTTGACTCTGGTTCTTCTGGGTCTGCCGGTGTCTCTCAGCCTGCTGCTACCTCTGGGTCTCCATCTTCCCGAGGCAAACGGAAGCGTGTCCTGTTAACAGCCAGACTCTTCCACAGTCTCTGGCGCAGTGTCCTCTCCACGAGCAAAAGTCGTCGTCGGAAGCGTGTTGTCCCATTGGTCAGCGCAAATGCGGATCTGGAATCCCTGCCACCCACCCGCAATTTTGGCTTTGCACTGTGGGATTCCTCCGCTGTGGATTGTCAATCTTCGCGCAGAAGCCTAATTTCTAGAGGAGTCCGCGCGTCGCTCGCCGTGTCGGTGCCCACCCAAAACCGGTCTCAACCCCACCCGCCCTGTTCCACTGCCCACCGCGCTGCCGCTCCCGCTCCAGGCTTTAGTCCCGGTCTCAACCCCGATCGACACGCAGCGACACAGATTCACCACGAAGTGCACTGGTGCAGCTCTCGGGACCTTCGTGTTCCCCGATGCGTCCTGGTGCATCCTGATGTACCGCAACCCAAGAAATTTGCGCCGAGCAGTTCGGGGCCCCTCCCGCAGTCTGCTCCGACTCCAGCTCCCGCTCGCCCCGGCCCCGAGATGCTCCGACCTGCCCCGACATGCACTGATGCGGCTCTTAGGACTCTAACGTGCTCCGATGCGTCCTGATGCCCGCTGCCCCATTGCACCCGAAGAAACCCGCTCCGACCGATCTGGGCCCCCTCCTGCAGTCCGCTGCCGGTCTCGCTCCAGGCCCCGGCTCCCGGCATCGACCCCGACCTGCTGCGACCTGCTGCGACCTGTCCCGGTACGGCTCTCGGGGCTCTGATGTGCTCCAATATGCGCCGGAGCCCGCCGACCCACCTCCGCTCAAAAACCCCGCTCCAGTCAGTCGGGGCACCTCCCGCAGTCCGGAACCTCTCCCGAACCCGGCCTCCGTCTCCCCGTCCATCTGAATTTGAATCGATGCGGCTCTGAGGGCCCTGATGTGCTTTCGTGCGCCCTGATGCTCCCTGCCCCGCCGGAAGCCAAGAAATCCCGTCGGGACAATCCGGAGCCTCTCCCGCAATCCGGGCACTGGCGCGCCACGAAGCCAGGCCGTCAACCACACAATTGAGTCCCGATTGCACACGAGGCATGGTGTTAGATTTCTGGCAGGGCAAATCTGCCTGGATCAACTCCCGACTCGTCACTGATTCCTGTGCTGCCCGCCGACCACTCCCCGAAGTCAACACCGGGTCCCATAGCACGAGTGCCGCATCAGGAGTCACCGTCCGTCCCAAAACCAGGGCCTCTGGTTTGCATTCCACTCCGACCCACCGAGCAAATTCGTAAGGGACCGACCGAAAAGATTCCCACGTCTCTTTTCCGTCCGGGCGTCTGAGGCAACCGTCTGGAGCCATTGATGCCGGCGTCCAGGACTCCCGGCAGCTAGAGACACATCTGTCTCTGGCACTCTCTGCAGACCGCGCCAGGATCCTGTGGCTGTCCGGTTCTTCCCACAGAAATAAAAGTGGACCGCCCGGTCATCTTCTTCTCCTTAGCTCCATACAGCTACCCTCCAACCTATGACTGATCCATGCCCTCTGGCAGGTTTACATCCTAGGTCTAGCCTTTGGCCTCCCCTCGGCTCTCTATTCGGCCAGGTTGACTCAAAAGCGCTGTAGATTGGTCAGAAGGTTCAAGGCCGAGAGTATCAGGAGCAGTTCGGAAGGTTGTCGCTAGATATGTCCGATGGTAACAGCTCCTGGGCCTTTGGGGAGCGCGGGGGTTTGGGTGTCACTGAAGACGTCTACGGGTTCTTTATGTTTCGCCGACTTGGTGACCTCCCACGGTGACAGGATGGTATAATGGGGCGTGCCGAACTAGCCGCCCGCCGCACCCTCGAACTTCATCTCAAGGCCTTAATGATTGTTAACAGCATCTTCTCCAAGTACACAATTCTGGCATGCACTTTTCAGTATGCTCTGGCATCTCTCGGTACCTCTAGCTTACCCTACCGATCGCCCTGCTAGCCTCGGGACCATGAATACTTTGGCAATGCCTATGTGTTTTGCAAATCCTTCTTGAGCCCCAAAGGGGCACGCAGCTGCTATTCAGCGCACGTTTTTACGCACGCGACCAGCGGCGCTCAACAAATTCCAAATCCTTCTGCAGGTTGACGCCTTCTTGTCGACGCGGATTTTGAATCACAGGGATTGGTCTAGGACAAGACCAAAGAAGACGGAGAAAAGACCCCTGGCATAAGAGCGATACAGCCAGAGGGCCCCAAGACACCTGTAGAGCGTAGATCAGGCAGAGATCCTATGAGCGTCTGAGCAGAAGGTCTTGGCTAGCTATGTACCAGGCACGGAAGGTTCCAGAGCCCAGTGAGGTCTTCGAAAGACGATAGGGAGGGCAACTAGTAGGCCTGTAAACAGGCCTCGTGGTGGCTTCATGGGCGACGAAGAATGGGTGTGGTCTAAGACCCCCGGACAGGATACCCATGTTCTGCACGACGACTATGAAGGCTTCCAACTTACCTAGTCCAGCATTAGTCGTGTGAACTTTCTGCTACTAAAATAAAAGTAACTTTCACGTCTAACTTAACCTCTGACGTAAACCCTCAATTTGTGAACGAATCTAGGCGAGTCCATATCGTTTGATACCAGTCGTATTGTTGCCCGTATCTGAATCATGCACAATGCACATACATATAAGTCCAACCATCATAACCCCCTGTTCTATCAAGTGATCGGGCCGTCAGGCGAGGAACCACGATCATGTCTCCATCACGAGCTGTCCGGAAAACTTTGACTTTCAACGCGGAGGTTCCGTTTCAGCGAGATGTCTCCAGAGATCAAGTTCTTGTTGAAGCAGTCCGATCAAATAAGCTTGGCTGGGTAAATTTGGATGTTACACTGGTCAGGATGCGCCCCATCGATGATAAAGTTGACAAGAGGTGGAAGAGCTCCAAGCAACCAAGACTCGCGGGAAACACACATCCTGCCTCGCGGAATTCAAGTATCGTACCTTCGGCTTCACGGCTCCCTGTGTCACATCAAACGTGACATAAAGTTGTCTTTTCTAGTGATTCAAGAAAGCCATGCCATTTTCTTTTCATCGACTATCCCTAACACCAAGAACTCAATGCCAAAGACGCCAGGACCGCCAATTCTCAATTTCCATCGAACCCCCAAAGGTTCCATGGACTGTCGTGCACATTCCCTATGCCATCCCGCAGATGGCGTTCGCCGTCGAGTCAGCATTCCAACTCCAAGCTTTCCGTTCTTGGAAAATTGCCATATTCGAACGAACGGACACATCCCGACTCGTGCTGCAAAACCTAACTCGTAAAGCTGGTCCCTGTCCGGGGATAAGCGTCTTCAGACAAACATCGCGTAGAGTTCCTCTTTCTAATGAAAATAAGAGAATTCGATACCTGTCGAAAAGCCAAAGACCCAAGCGACGTTTTCTCGATACACGAGGGACATACGATTCGTGCACGAGGGCCCCCGCATAGTCGTATCGTGCATTATCAACGGTTCTATTAGAGTTTGGTGATGGTCGCAATCGGGCTTTCAGGTTGCCGAATTCTAGTACTTTGTTCAAGAATACGAACAAACTGATTGCTTAAATACCAGCTAAAGTCCGAGTGTACATTCAAACTTCGAGCCCTGATGCAATCAATTCGACGAACAAGCACCCAATCCGGTATTGAACCACAACTTTGCGGCTTTGACTTACTCAACCAGCAACGTCAGTTGCCCAAGTCTCTCGGCCATTCTTCTTGCTTCCACCGCGGTCTGTCTAATATCATTCGCAGATGAAATACTTCGCTCTCATCGCAGCCATGATGGTGTCTGCGGTTCTCGCCGTTCCGACCCCGACCGGGTAAGCAGTTCATCCATAGATATCCATGGATATCTTGCGATATCGACTGAATCTGACACCGAAATGCAGAGAACAGCTCGAGGTTCATGTAGAGCTGGGTAGTTGTATGCCCATTGAACCCGGCTGTAGTCTGTAGACACCTGTGTGCATGGAAGCTCTGAGCGCATAGTCATTTCAATAATGAATATGATAGACAAAGCTGGGCGGTGACATATTTATGAGCAAATGTAGAATACATGCCTCTAGCACCACGGCCGAAAGGGCACATCCGGCGCCGCAAACGGGGCACATGAACCGCTCGCGACAGCATGATGACGACGGAAATTACTCAACAGCTTATCGCGCTAGAACAAAGATGCCAACAACGTTCCAGATTCACGTCCTGCGAGACAGCTGCAGCGTACGCGTAATGATCGCACATCAGCAAGAACCCCCCCTTTCATACCTCGAAAAAGGGGGTCAAATTGTTCAATCGACCAGGAATGCGCTCATATTCACTAATGGAGGGCGTTCCACGTTTTGAGGGAGACAACAGGAATGAGAAAAGCGCCGCGGCCGTGGGGGCAAAGGCAGGGATGGATGTGGCTAGGGGGGAACTATTGTCTTAGATGGTTGGTGGCTTTTGGATGGCTTATGAATTTGGACTAGCCCCATCTTGACTCGATCGCGCACTGCAGTGAATTAAGCTTCCTGACTGGAGAGATGCGCGTGAAGGCTATGCGACTTAAGATATCGTGGCTTGCTGAAAGTTGTTGGCGAAATTGGCGCGCTGATGTCTAGCCCTCGCCGAGAGGGGTCCGAGAGGAAACGGCCCTTCATCAATTCATGACGGACAGCTATGATGATTGGATAGCGAGCCATGGGCATTCACAAAAGCATATTCAAGCAGGCAGGCTAGGCACCACTCGATGCTGTTGTTTCCCCTGATCATTGTGAGGACAGCGCTCGAAAAACGTCAACGTACGTACAATTGTACACGCAGGATTCCTGCCTCGGATCTGAATTAGAGCACTTTAGCCTCTTTGGCTCGAGGGAGACATGAGTTCCAAAGATATCGCACGACGATAGCCGCACAGGTCTAGACCGGCTGGCGAAGATCGGTGATGAGGTGGCAACATGAGACATCCGCGCCGAGCGACATCAAAAATAAATGAAACGGTGCATCGCGGAATCTTCGAAGAAGATATCTTATCTTTCACCAGCTCCATCCACCTAGTCAGCAGAGTGCATTCCGGAAGGGTACCCCACTGCTAACTCGGGTTACATCCTCAGCCCCATCGGCATTTCTCTCTGCCTTTCCAACGCGGCCGCTCCTGGATGCCATGAGTATTCCTCTAGTCCCCGAGACGTGAAACGTTTAGTTCCCGCTAGAGACAGCTGGCAGTGGAAGATCTTTAATCATGTTCATCGCGCAAAACCACTGGCTGGGGGAAGAATTAAGCGTATTGAGAGTGAGCGCGGGACAGAGGCCGGAAGCATTATGTGGCGGCGATGGTGACGAATGGGATCTCTGATTTTTCAGCCTCTGCATCAGCTCTTCATAACTAGACAAACGTTATTTGGCAAGGACAGGGACTTCATGTCTCAGGGGTTCAGGAGATGATTCGAAAAGAGGCACCATGGCGCGCGCTGGCCCACTTGGTCGAGGCAGTTCCAAGGGCGAGCTCGAATGGCATGTGCCGGGAACCAAGACTTATTTAACGTCCTGGGCAGCCCATTCAACCCAACTACACGCGTGCGAAGGTTCCCGCCTTGGTGATCTCTTTGTTCTCCCATACCTCGACTCAATCCTCCCCTGAGATCCCGCCAGTCGGCCGCGACCATGAGTGTCGGAAGCAGTGGCCGTCCGAACCCTCTCGTGTTCGTAGCCGTCTTCTTCATGTTCCTGTTGATGACGGGAACATGGGATTTGCTCTTCAGTGTTGGTGTTGCCCTCTCCTCCCTCGCCTGACGCTCAGCAGCTGACCCGAACTTCAGCACCACGACGGCACGGCGGCACCCTCGAGTGGCGATGACCGCCCTCGCGCCGGAATCCAGCTCACCAGCCAGCGCATCTCAGACCTCGACGCAGAACCCCTCTCATACGAAGCTCCCGAAGCCGTGAAGCCGCCTCCGCCGCCTCCTCCTCCCCCAGCGCCCAAATACACCGCCCTCCTCGTCGAGACCGACCCGGCCCACGTGCCCAACATCGTGCCCATCATGATGCACTTCGCATCCGTCATCGGCCCGGACTGGCCCATCTCCTTCGTCACGGACTGGGAAAACTACGCCGCCTGGGAGGCGCCCCCGGCCTTCCGCCGCGCCGTCGACGCCAACCAGATCATCGTCAAGTTCCTCCCGCCCAACACCACCTTCCCGACGCACGAGTCCGTCTCCGCCTTCCTCGTCGGCACCTGGCTGTGGGAGCAGCTTCAGTCCTACGCGCGCGTGCTCATGTTCCAGGTCGACAGCATCGTCTGCGCCAATTCCGCGCACCGTCTCGAGGACTTCCTAGAGTGGGACCTCATCGGCGCGCCCATCCGCCCCGGCTTCGGGTTCGGGTACAACGGCGGCCTGTCGCTGCGCAACCCGAGCATGCTGCTTGAGATCGCGCGCGACCTCGAGGCGAGGGTGGCCAAGGACCCGGCCGCGGCGGGCGAGGTGAACTACGAGGACCAGTGGTTCTACCACAAGGTCAAGGAGAGGGGCGGGAAGGTGCCGGAGGCGGAGGTCGCGGGCAAGTTCTCGGTCGAGACGTACTATTTCGAGAAGCCGCTGGGGTATCACCAGGTGCAGAAGTTTCAGCAGGACCACCAGGAGGATATCGACATGTATTGCCCGGAGGTGGCGATGATTCTCAAGGGCTCACATTATAGGTGAGATGGGGTGTGAGAGGCGTGAATATCAATTTCATAACGTTCAAATGTGCGGTGATTTCAGATGATTGCTGGAAACCTCCCGCAGCAAATAGCAGAAGGACGGGAGACGCCGTGATTGTAGCAACTCGGTGAAACAACAGGTCGCTGGATTATCACCTGCGGTGTTGTGCTGCAGCCGTCGCTTCTGACTGCTCCTACACTCTTGAAGAGTACGGTAACGATATTTTTGCGTACATACTCATATAAGAGGACATTGTCACAGAGAATGAGTAAAACGGCTGCCATATGCTTGTTCGTACACAAACTAATGAACACGCCCTCCTTTCTTCGAGATTCGGATTGAAATACGCACGTACATGACAGCCAACTACGAGCCGAGTTGACTAGTGGAAGTCAACCGAAGCCACTCAGATCTCGAAGCTAACGTATGACTGACTTTGGGCTCGGGATAAATGAAAACATCCCTAACACATTTCTGTAGCGTTTTCGAATGAGAAACTTGAATACCTTGCTCTAACTAGTTGTCCGGAATAGGAATAAGCACAATTACACGTCATCGGCCTGTGTTGTTGCTTCGTCTTGATAAAATACCCTTCTTCTCTCCTTACTTCAGCTGAAATGCCTGCAAAGTACATCACTAGATCAGGCACACGCGCTACACCTCAGTAGAAGGTTCTTACCTGAGTATTAGTCTATAAAGCCTGAACCAAGCTCAGCACACATCTTAGGCAAGAAGAGCCGAGGTTGTATGATACCTCAATTTTCTTTCAAAGGCATACCTGCGTTACAAAGAGACGAAGAGAAAGAGCTGAGAAACCGAGACTGTTTACTACTCGACCTCAACATGCCGACGCAGGGCACTGTGATGAATATGTGACTTGACTTGTTCACATGAGTTTCGAACAGAACTCTGACGATGAGCCGCCCACAACTTCCGGCGGTAGCCTTGTCCAAAATGAAGGAAATAATGAGATAACAGAGACTAGCCATCGGCACTTTACCAATCTTCAATGATGAATTGAGTTGACACAGGTTGCAATTACGTGATAATCAAAAGTTGGACTTCGGAGAATGGCTTGGGAGACTGCAAATGGATGCATGAGCGAGGTACGCTTGGCAGGTTTGAACGTCAGTTTTTGCAATGTTCGAATGCTCGGTCGCATCACATAATGGCTGCAGATATCGTGTAACAAACAACACCAGATACGATTTGGTGGAGCGTCCAGAAATCCCAGCGGCTCGGTGCTGCAACAGGCTAGCAAATCGCCCCCCAGCCCTGGCAAGCCAAGCCGTCCCAAAAAAACCACGTCGGATTACGTAGCAATCAGAAGTCCAACTTCCGAAAGTGGGCTAGGAGGCTGCAGTTGAACGCATGAGCGAGGTGCGTTCATTCGTTCGGGTCCTCGGGGCCCTTGATTGTCTCTCTGCCACCCCTGTATCGTGCAGGAGGAACCAACAGGCGTGAACACGACGTCTCGTCGGTAAAAAAGAGGGGGTTTTCCACGGATGGTTTCGCACATTTGGGTTTCATTCTCATCTCACCGGAAATCACACACGCATACAGCGAAAACACACGAAAAAAGAACGCAATGTGCGCGACTCCGGATCCAGCCGCGGCGCCGACCGGCTCGCCGCGCTCCAACACCGGCGCAGCAGCCGGCGACGGACCCGCCGAGGGACCCATCACGGCGGTGGGTACTACTGATGGCGTCCTCGCCGGGACGTGTTTGAGAAGATGGGACAGCTGCTGATCTCGGGGACTGTCAGGATCCTGCGCTCGATACCGATGATGAAAGCCAGGCAGACACGGCAAGGTAGGCACAAGCTTGGGCTTGGTATGATGAGCGCTGCGACTTTGCCGTGCTGACGAACTGCAGCGTTGTCTCGTCGTCTGCGTCCTTGACTGAGAGCATCACCGAGTACCGCCGCCTTCATGGCCGCACGTACACGCAGAAGACGGACTACTACGGCCCCAATGATGAGAAGCAGAACGAGGGTCTCGAGATCAAGTGAGGTCTACTCCAGTGCTGAGCTGAAACAGCAATCGCTGACCGAAGAAGCCACTACTGGATGACGGTGTTCTTGGACGACAGGCTCTTCCTCTCTCCGATTGGCGACAACCCACAGGTTAGCAGGATCAGTGTCCTAGCCGTGATGGATTGACACTGATGTTGATAACCCAGAGAGTCCTTGACGTCGGCACGGGAACCGGTATCTGGGCCATGTGAGTCTCAAACAACACCAGACCTAACGGGAAAAAACGCCCCAGAACTAAACGTGCCACCAGCGACTTCGCGGACGAGTTCCCCTCAGCCGAGGTCTACGGCATCGATATCTCGCCCATCCAGCCCGGCTGGGTGCCCCCGAACTGCAAGTTCCAGATCGACGACATCGAGAAGATGCCATGGTCGTGGCCCGCGGCGCACTTTGACTTTGTGCACATCCGCAACCTCGAGGGCTGCGTCTCCGACTGGCCGGCGCTCTACACCGAGGCGTTCGAGATCCTGCAGCCCGGCGTCGGGTACATCGAGGTCAAGGAGACCGACTTCGAGGTGCGCTCGCAGGTCATCCCGGACCTCGACGACGAGCACCCGTTCAAGCGCTGGGCCAAGGTCATGTTTGAGGCGTTTGACAAGATGGGCAAGACGGCGCGGCAGCACCGCGACCACGGCATCAGGAAGAACCTCGAGGCCGCGGGTTTCGTTGACATTGTGGAGAAGACGTGGCCGATCCCGATTGGGAACTGGGCGAGAGACCGCAAGTTGAAGGAGGTGAGTTGAACGAGGAGCAGCCGCTTTCCAACCCGCAGTGGGTTTCGGTGACTGATGCTTGGAGCAAAGGTCGGGTTCTGTCACCTGGAGTTCCTCGACCAGTCTCTCGAGGGCTTCGGCACCTTCCTCCTCAAGGAGATCATGGGATGGGAGTACGCGGAGATCCTGGTATTCATGAGCGAGATGCGCAGGGAGCTCAAGAATGCGAAGATTCAGCCAAAGATTGATATGTAAGTTCCCACAACGTCTCGACCGGTGGAAGGTAACTGCTGATATTTAACGGTAGCCATCTTGTCTACGCGCGTAAACCGGAGCAGGCAAAGAAATAGGGAAGGCGGTCTGCAAACGCGGCTGTGCTGCAAAGCCCCGAAATAGTTGCGATGTGTCATGAAGGACAGCAAGATGAAAGTGCCGTGTGACTGGCTTTCTTGATGTGAATAGGTGAATATGAAGCCAAGCCGTAGGGCTGCTTCATCTTTGAAGAGAAGTTCTCATAGCATGATTCATACGAAAGAATTGAATGACTGGAGTGAGTGAGAGCCGCTGTGTGAGATGCATCGTGACATTCACGCGGGTGCTGGGTCGGCGGACCGGATGGCAAAGTCCGAAAAAGCAAGGTTGCAAACTCCGAGCATGCAAACTCCCATTGAAGCGAGCGAATGAGAAGTGGCTCATCTGAGAAGCAGCGCCAGGGGGAGGGCGCACAATCCCGATCGTGGGGGGCATGACGAAGCGCAGCCTCGAGACGAGAGCCTCAGCTGAGAACGGTCAAAAGATCCGAAGCCGGACCATGTGTCCAGAGAGACTGAGAGAAATGGAAGGGTGCCGGATGCGCTCCAGTCAGAAAACAGCGGCTCAGAGTGGTCGGAATTGGCTCCCCGTGGGCCCCCGTGTGGGATTGCGCACAGACCATGAAGGCAGTAAGGTACTGCATAGAAAGGGCGGAAGGCGGCGATACAGAAACTCCGCTTCCCCGCGATTGCACGATTTCAGTGGGGGCACCGCATGACTCGATCCACAGTCGCCTGCTTCAGTGTTGGTGAGAGGTTTGAAGCTCCAGCATCGATTCACAAGAGTTCTCCAGCGAAAAGGTGGGGTCACAAGGGCCGGAGTCGCACCGGACCGGCCCCCTCCTCCTCCAGTGGAGGTCATGGATGATGGAAGTTCCCCCTCCAACAGCTGAACAGTCCATACCTTAGGTATCCGTAGCTCTCTGGCGGTGGTGGTGCTTGCAGTTGCTGCTCCTCCTCAGGTAGGTGGGCTGTGGCCCGACCGACTAGGAAGCACCACGCACCACCCACGGGTTCAGGCGCAGAGTCACAAGTCAGACCATTCCAACCTATCCACCCGCGCCATACCCGTTCCTTGCTTCCATTGTGTCCAGTTCTCTCAGAGTGACTCCCACCCCCCAGTACCCAGTACCTTAGTGTGACAGTGTGTCCCGTCTGCAGCTGCTTTTTCGGCACTTCGCTGTCTCGGAGTCTTTTTTTTTGTTCGTCACCCTCCTCCGAGCAAAACCTCGTCCTCTTCCCGAACTCCTCCTCCTCCTCTCCATCTTCAACCCTCTTCCCTTTTTCTCTCTATTCATCTCCCGAAGAAGAGAAGAACGCCAGATTCAAGATGTTGTCCACCGCCAGAATCGCCACCAGGCAAGCCGCCGTCCGCCGTGCGGCCGCCCTGCCCGTCATGGCCGCCCGTGCCGGCTCTACCTGGGCCAACGTCCCCCAAGGTCCTCCTGTATGTCTTATACGCCCCGACTCCAAACTGCCCCAATTGAGTGCGCCACGATTGCTAACGAATTCCTGCAGGATGTAAGTTGAACACCGACATGTTGCGAAAAAGCTGTCTCCTCCGTGGAGAAAAAACGACCTCGTTTGCTGACCGGCCGATTTTTGCTGCGACGAACAGGCCATTCTCGGTATGACGCACACCCTTCCCGCGGCTTCACCTTTTTTTTTTTTTTTTTTGTCCCGCAAGCAGCCACGAACCCAATTGAAGCTAACACGCTACCAAACAGGCATCACTGAAGCCTTCAAGGCCGACACCTTCGAGCAGAAGATCAACCTCGGTACGAATGTCTCCCCACCATGACGCACACCTCAGCCGGCGAGCTCTGGACAAGCTGTCACGAGCTTCACCTCCACACACGCAACCCCACGATGCTCAACCACTCCAACAACCACTAACATCCCCCCAGGTGTCGGTGCCTACCGCGATGACCAGGGCAAGCCCTACGTCCTGCCCTCCGTCCGCGCCGCCGAGGAGAAGGTCGTCGCCGCCAAGCTGAACAAGGAGTACGCCGGCATCACCGGCGTGCCCGAGTTCACAAAGGCCGCCGCCGTCCTCGCCTACGGCCCCGACTCCTCCGCCCTCGACCGCCTCGCCATCACCCAGTCCATCTCCGGCACCGGCGCCCTGCGCATCGGCGGCGCCTTCCTCGCCCGCCACTTCCCCGGCGCCAAGAACATCTACATCCCCACCCCCTCCTGGGCCAACCACGGCGCCGTCTTCACCGACTCGGGCCTCGCCGTCCACAAGTACCGCTACTACGACCAGAAGACCATCGGCCTCGACTTCGCCGGCATGCTCGCCGACATCAAGGCCGCCCCGAAGAACTCCATCTTCCTCTTCCACGCCTGCGCCCACAACCCCACCGGCGTCGACCCCACCCCCGAGCAGTGGCGCGAGATCTCCGACGCCGTCAAGGCCGCGGGACACTACTCCTTCTTCGACATGGCCTACCAGGGCTTCGCCTCGGGCAACACCGACACCGACGCCTTCGCCGTCCGCCACTTCGTCAAGGAGGGCCACAACATCGCCCTCGCCCAGTCCTTCGCCAAGAACATGGGCCTCTACGGCGAGCGCGTCGGCGCCTTCTCCATCGTCGCCCAGGACCCCGAGGAGCGCAAGCGCCTCGACTCCCAGGTCAAGATCCTCGTCCGCCCCCTCTACTCCAACCCCCCCGTCCACGGCGCCCGCATCGCCTCCACCATCCTCAACGACGCCGCCCTCAACAAGCAGTGGCTCGCCGAGGTCAAGGGCATGGCCGACCGCATCATCACCATGCGCGCCCTCCTCAAGGACAACCTCGAGAAGCTCGGCTCCGCCCACGACTGGTCCCACATCACCTCCCAGATCGGCATGTTCGCCTACACCGGCCTGACCCCCCAGCAGATGGACGCCCTCGCCAAGGACCACTCCGTCTACGCCACCAAGGACGGCCGCATCTCCGTGGCCGGCATCACCAGCGGCAACGTCGGCCGTCTGGCCGAGGCCATCTACAAGGTCAAGGGCTAAGCGCTGCCCTTTTGTAGATTGCACTATTTCCACCAAAAAAGAGATATCATGGGGGTTCTGTTGACATGGGGTGCTTCGGTTTCCAAAAGAACAGGGTGTGTTTCACTGTAACGAACACGAAAAGGGGAGAGGCCTTCTCTTTCAGCAAAGCCAGGACTCAACCGGGCCGGCGGATATAGAACGTTGGCGCACCATAGGTAGACCACACACGCATTCCCAGCTGTGTAACAATATAGCGACGTCTTTTATAATCTGTCTCCCTAGACCGTGACCTCTGCTTCTTTTGTAATGTCCGATTTTTCCGTAACTCCCCCGTTGACGTCCCTCACGCCTTCCCCAACCTCTCCAAATCCCTCAACGCCTCATCCCTCTCCCTCTCCAACTCACGATACTTCCTCGCAATCTCCCTCAACGTCCTCTCTTTCCCCCCATCCCCCCTCCCCTCCTCACCAACCCCGTACCCCTCCAGCTCCGCCTTCAAATTCGCCACCGTGCCCTCCAAGCGTATCCTCGCATCCCTCAAATGCGCCTCATAGTTCCCCAGCGCAACCACCATCTCAGGCGAATACACCTCCCTCACGACACCCTCCCGCGCCACCTCCGCCTCCGCCCTTGCCCGCTGCGCCTCCAGCCCCGTCTCCGCGGCGCGCATCTCCAGGCTGCGCGCGACCAGCCCGTGCTTCGCCTCCAGCGCGCGCACAAGCAGCGTCAGCGCGCCGGCGTGCGTGTCCAACAGCTCCGTCAGCGCGGCCGCCGCGCGCAGCCGCTCCGAAGCCAGGGCGTGCCGCGCGGCTGCGACGTCGGTCTCGAGTTTGGCGTAGGTCGCGTTGAGGCCCGGCACGGTGCGGTGCAGGAAGGAGGGGTTCGTGGACGGGTTGGCGATGCGCGCGAGGGAGACGGCGGAGGTGTGCAGTGTGGAGGAGACGAGCTCGCCGAGTTGGGGCAGGAGGGATTGCAGCTGGGAGAAGGGCGGGTTGGAGAGCAGGATGGCGGCGGAGGCGGGGTCGAGAGGGGTTGGGGAGGTGAGGAGGGGTGGGAGGAGGAGGAGGAGGTCGAGGAGGGGCTCTGGGAGCTGTTGTTGTTGTTGTTGTTGTTGTTGTTGTTGTTGTTGTGAAGGCGGTGGTGGGTTTTGGGATGTGGATGTGGATGTGGGACGCAGCGAGCGGTGCGCGGGTTTTGGGTCCGGGGGCGCGGTGGTCGAGATGGCGGATGTGAGGAGGTGGTCTTTGGCGGTTGTGTAGGTGTGGTCTGCTAGTTCCTGGGGTGATGTCAGCTGGAATTCGGCGATGGTTCAAACTGAAGGTATTCGCACATTTTGGATCGCGGACTGTTCCTTGGTGTACGGCTTCTTTGACGATCCGTCTGGGTTGAGGATGGCCGTCGTGAGGGTGTGATGCAGCGCCGCGAATTCGGGGTTGTTTTGGAGGACCGACTCCTCAACCGGGGGAAGCATTATGACTTTCCACCTTGTTCTTGACCGGAATAAAAGTGATTGATCTGTGGTTGTCGGAATGTCACTGCAACTTCGGTAGTCTCTACTCGCTACGTCAGGCTGGCGTGGGGTTGAAGGTCGTACGGACTGGCTCCCGGCCCAACGATAAGGTCGCGAAACCCACACGCAATCAGCTGATTCCACTTTAACCCAGCTCCTCGTCGCCGCCCCCACCAAACCGCCCCTCCAACCAATCACACCACCCAATTCCACCCAGCGGGCGGAACATCAGCCCGCCCGAACGGAAAGCTGCAACTCCAAAAATTCCATTCCTCGAACACCACGAAGCACCACCACCGCCGCCCGCCACGACGATACCCTCCCCTCCCGCCTGCCCTCGAGGCACTCCTCCACCGCAACCTAACCTCACAATCCTCGCCCACGATGCGCGGCCTCTCCCTCCTCCGCCCAGGGACCCTCCCCACACCCGCCTCCTCCCTCCGCACACCACCAACCCTCCGCCAATTCTCCTCAACCCCGGCCACCCTCACAAAAACAATCCCAATCAAAAACCTCCCCTCCGACGCCCTCCCGCCGTAC